GCCGCCCCCGAGCCCCAGGCCCTGCGTGTGCCTGCGGGTCCTGTGGCCGGGCCTCGCCTCGCCTCTGCCGCCCTGGTGCCGCGGCTGCCCCCTGTCCTTGTGTTGCTGCTCCTGAGGGCTGTTGTATAAAGTCTTGTTTTGCCATAGTGCTATTTTCTAACTTGTTAGAAAGCTCATCTTAGAGTAAATCCAACTGTGTAAAACTATAGAAGGTTATGTGTGATAAACATGCTCGCTATATTAAATTTTAGTCGGGGCAAATTCGGTGGAGCAAAGAATATTTATTGCAGCTTTGGGAGTTACGCAGGGGATTTCTCCTCCCGTGGCTCGTTTTCCCTTTTACAAACGCTTGTTTTTATTTTGTATTCCTTATTCATGTTTTTTCTTTGAAAATCATCTGCATAATCAATGAGTTTTCGGAGCGCAACCCACCCCCAATTACATAGTCAATGAGTTCTTGGAATGCAACCCACCCTCGAACATGCCCCTTCCTTTCTAGTCGTGCAGGTGATATGCTTCCTCAGGGGTCTTCCTGGTGGTCATCGGAGGGAGGCTCAAAGTCTTAATCACTATGTCCTTCTTGGGGCTTCTTTATTCTTTACACTTCTGTGGTTATCTTAGCTTACTACACCACCTTTTGTTCTGCAATGCTCAGTACTTCCAACTGTTGCTTTTGTCTGATATCCTATCTTATGCTATCCCTTTTCCAAACGCATCACAAGCATGCGCCCATCTTAGCTAAAGCCATAACAAGCACACATCCATTTTAGCTGAAGCAAAATTCTTTTGCTAAATTACTTATTACAATGTAAAAGTTGCTTACTACAAAAAAAGTGAAATAGGGATGCAACATGAAGTCATAATGGGGAACCTAGCTGAAGTCAGAAGTTTCTACAGTGCGTCATGTGTGGGTACGGCAATGTCTGTCAGAAGATAGGTGGCCACTTTATCAAATCGTGATAGTTCTGAAAAGCGAACTCTTAAAAACATTCCCACAGGAGGTGCTTGCTCCAGGAAGTGCATACGATTACTGGCTATGTTTTCAAGGAGTTGGTTTTAGTTCCTGAAAAATGGAGCTGTGATGTCTGTGGTACATCGGTTGACAGCAGGGTGGCTTGTGGATCATCTCTCTTTCATCAACCAGTGTGGCTACGAGGTCTGTGACTCCTTTGCATACCCTGGTGGTGTCACTCTCGATACTTCTCTTGGAGATTGTCATGCTACTTCTACCTTTGCTGCCACCTCCTCATCAAGCGATGGTCCTATTCCTGGTCTTGGAGATGCGGTAGAGACAGAAGGTAAAACAGCAAAGAAGAGATATGTGTTTCGGGAGGAGTTCTTTGACATTTCAAAGCCCCATATACCTGCAGCTCCTGAGGAACAGCTATGGCAGGGATGCCCTGAAGTGAGTCTCACAGAAGTCAAGGCCAGCGGCAACAGAGGGGAACACTGTGAAGAAACCAAGAGTGGCATTGGAGAGTCTGTTGCTGGTGCTAGGAAGGTATGTTCTCCATAATACAGTAAATGGCAGTAATCTCCTGGTAAATAATATACCACTAACATTGTCGTGCACGTTTTGATTTCCTGAGCTTATGTAGGAAAGCAGGAACTTTCCCACAATAAATTTCAAGATGTAAGGAAAATGTAAGCACTTGTGAGGATATTCTTCTGTCCCTCGTGTCAGTAATGTGCATCCTGTGACTCAAAAGCAGCGAGTTGCTCACAAAATCTTCTGATGTTGGTTGTGGTTAGGGACTTCAGCTGAAACTGTGTTAGCTGTCAAGAATGTGCAGATTAACAAGGAGGGAAGGACAGTATGAATTTGCTTTCAATATGTGGATTGTTTAGTGCTGTTTCTTATGGACCAAAAAACATGAGAGTCACTGGTCTAAACCAACAAATGTAATCATGAAAGACCTAGTTAATTTTCTCCTGTTATTGGTAAACCACACTTGGCAGCTGAACAAATACCTTCTGGTATGGACCCAAAGGAGGCATGAACATGAACTGTGGCGTGCACTAGGTACCTTCACATCCCACTGCCATGAGTAACGTAACACAGCCTTAAGCCTATGTAGCTTGAGAATGCCTACAGCAGCCTCAGGTATTTTGAGATCGTCTTTTTGCTTATTGGGCTTCTACTTGTGATAAAAGAGATGAAAAGTTTCCTCTGCTTTTAGAAGAGTTGCTTTGTAATTTGGGTATGTTTGATTATTTATTTTTTCATTTCATCATGGAGTAATACGGATTTTTTTTTTTTTGTCCACTGTTTGCTTATTCTGCAGAAACGTAAAAGGAAATGTGTATTCAACCAAGGTGAAGTAGATGCTTTAGAATACCATTCAAAGGTAAGTTTGAACAAGAGCATATTTTGCAAGTACGTGATACCTGACTTTGAACCACGTATGGAGTGCAAGGCATGGTTGTGGACAAGTTCTGTTTTTGTAGCTTGTTCTGCTAACAGGAAGGTCATCTCTCTAGTCCTTAAATAAGCAACTGCATACAGAGAATATCTTTTGTGTAGCTATGTGCAAAACAAACAACATCAAATGGAAGCTGAGAAGTTTTGAAGAGCTGGAAGCTGCGTTCATAAAATATCTTTTACTGTTATGGATAAGTGAGCATTATATAGTTATGAGCTGAATGTTGACCAGGAAGTGACTGATTTGAAATGAAAAGCTGAGCTAGGACCTACGCTTGCTTTCTTTCCTCTGACAAAGGTGTTAGTTATATTGGGCTTTTTGTTTAATTCTGTTCCTTTTTAACTATATTAAATGACTAAATTTTTCTTCTCTTACTTGGCAACATTTTTGTCATAAATGTATACAGTTTGCTATGATGCATTGTAGAGGTCACAGAATCACAGAATTTTCAGAGTTGGAAGGGACCTCTAGAGATCATCTAGTCCAACTCCCCTGCTAAATCAGGATTGCCTAGAGCACATTACTCAGGACTGCATCCAGGCGGATTTTGAAAATCTTCAGAGAAGGGGACTCCACAACGTCCCTGGGCAGCCTGTTCCAGTGCTCTGTCACCCGAACTGTAAAGAAGTTTTTTCGTGTGTTGGAACGGAACTTCCTATGTTCCAACTTGCACCCATTGCCCCTCGTCCTGTCACTGGGAACCACCGAGAAGAGTGTGGCTGTAATTATTATATATATAATAAATATATATTGTTATTATATATATATACAGAGGTCCTGTAATTATTGTTGTGAATAAGCTGTGCATGTGCAGAATCACCTTAAAAGAGAGAACTTTCAAGTTCAACATCCAACAGAGTTTTATGAGTATGAAAACCTTTTAGCTAAAATAAAGTCATTCAACAGTAGGAATAAAGGAAGAAATGAAGAGAAGTTGTTTGATGCCTCGGAGACCTGTGTAACTTCAAATGATTTTTGGTGAATATGCAAAAAAGACACAGTTTTGAAAAATCTGTGATACCAGTTAGCCTCTGAGACCACTCACAAGTTAGAACATACTATTTTTTACAGTATTTGTAGTGTTAAACGTTGGCTAGTCAATTCAGTTTATTTTGGCACTTACTCATATCTTAGAATAATTTTCCAAAAAAAAACCCCCATATTTGTGTCTGCCAGTGAAAGTAGGCTTTGAATCCATTTATGAATTTCAGAGTCAGCATAGGGAACAGTAAAAAATATGCTGAATTTCTTCGGCCATTTGTTAAAACTACTGTTTAAATTGCTCGATAGTCAAGAAGCTTTGCCCACCTGCGAATTAACACAAGGGGGTAAGAAGAAGAGCCATCAGCATTAATTCAGCTGTACAACTTGTAGTATTTCTAAAGATATATTTATTAATTCTATTAAAGCAGTATGAACTTTTACTAAAAAATTATGACTCTCTCCCCTCAAATGTCTAGATGGTGGCGCTATTAAAGACATTATTAAAAAAAAATCACCCTCATTAATTTGGAAATTGTAATAAAAATATTTTGTAAAAACATCTTCTAAAATTGAAGATTCCATGATCAGGAGCTTTAGAAACCGTAATAAGTATTTTAAACCTTTGATAAAGCTACTGTAACTGGCAGTATTGCTGTTCTAAATGAACAAAAGTGCCTTATTGGTAATTCAAACTCATGAAGGTTCAATGATTTGGGAATAAACTAGGTCTTTAAATTTTGCTAAGGGAGGGTGCTGAAGTGAATGAAAGTCTATATAGATCCAAGAATCTTGTCTCCCTGGACTCGCTGGCAGATTATTTGAGATGTCTTCACTTAGAAGTTGCAAAACTAAATTCTAATAACTTAATTTGTTTTACTTCCATATTACTTTTAAAATGCATAAACTGTTGTTTCTAGAAGTGAATTTAAATGTGAAAATACTGTGGGTTTTTTTATTAGATCCCAGTGTACATCCCAATTAAAAATATGTTATGGGCACAGTAACTTGAAATTAGATTAGACTTTGAACTTGTACTTCAAATTATTGCTTTGAAATTTATGTTTATTTAGAACAGCAATATTCTGCCTCTGTTGTCTGTGAAATGTTTTATTTTGTAGTCTCTCGCTCTTTCTTTCTCCAGGCTTCTAATCATTGCCACTTTACAAAAAAAAAAACCAAACAAAAACCCAACAAAAGTTAGCATGGCCTCACTAGCATGCCCTTGTAGCTTTTGAGTCAATGATCTCAGTATTTGGCAGAGATACTTTTTCCACTCTGCAGACTGAAAATGTTTTGATTTCTGTCTCATTCCCAGATTGGGTAGATACTTGAAAGATTATTTCTTTTTCCCTTGTTTCTTTATGACCATACAGGTCAGGAAGCTCATTTGGGAAGGCAGTTTGCATTTAGTCCAAGAAGGACTCAAAAGTGGTTTTCTTCACCGCACTACTGCAGAACTCAGTTGCAGGAAGAATGTTGTTCCTGGACATGTTGGCTGCGGATTGGCTGAATTATGTGAAATGGCAAAGCAATTTCCAGCTGGGAGTGAAAGCGACCATCAAGCTGTACATGTGCTAGATGATGAAACCTCCATTCCAGAGCAGGACCTGCTTTCGTGTGTTACAGAAAACAGCTCAAACTGTGCAAAGATAGTTGTGTTAATGGGGCAGAAGTACTTGGTGCCACCGAAAAGCAGTTTCCTTTTATCTGATATTTCATGTTTACAGTCCCTGCTGAACTGTAAGTATCATTAGGCATTAGAATTTACCACTTCTCTTTTGCCTCAGAAGGGCGTTTAATGTCAAGATGACTAAGAATTCAGTGAACAGATTTTAATATACAGAATCACACTAATGGGAAACGCTGCTGCGAGCTTTCAAAACTTTGTGTTAATAGGTGAGGGCTTTCAAAAGAATCTTGAGTGGTTAGGAGCTCGTGCCATGGGGGGATTATCTGTCTCATGGAGGCTCCTTTGAAAGTCTCAGCCACAGCATTTTACATGAAGCCTAAAATACGGCAGCTTGTGAACACGTTCTGAGCCATGGTCGGTATAGAAGTCATGTAAATGCATTAAATTGGGATTAGCTATGCTGCTGGCTCTCTATTGTGCAGGATGAGGCTTTAACAAAGATAAGTCCATGCTGCTACTAGGGTGGCGTTTCTTCTGTCTTGGCTTTTAGGTAGACTAGATCATGGGAGAGGCATGAGATTATGCACCTTAAAGCAATATTCCCTTACAGATAAATCTTGTTCAGCAGTAGGGTCTGTTTATATAGGCATAAACTGATGGTGAGACCAATCCCAGTGTCCTCCAGAGAAGCTGCTGCACCCAGTGGAAGGTAAACATTTTAGCAAGAACACGAGTAGCAAACATGAGTTGACTTCTCAGCTGCTACATTTCACAGCTGAGTGTTGGCTTAAGCCAAAATCAGTGACAGGGAGGTGGTGGGATTTTAGAATTAGTAACTCTAAAAGTAAACCAAAAGCTGTCCAAGCCAGTATCTCCAGCCTTAATGGATCGCGCAGAAAGCTTTAAGGTGACAGCGTACAACATTCTTCACTGTACTTCACCATTGCATTAGCTTTCAACTTGACATTTGTTATTATTGTTATTTATTATCAGCAGCTAAGTTTCGTCAGACAGTCTTAGAGGAAAGACGATGCCTGTAAGCAAAACCTGGGGATTACTGCTTTACCCTCTAATCAGTAATTTTAGATTTGTTAGTTAATATGTTTCTTCCCTCTAACATGCAACTTAAATATCCACTGATTTTTTTTTTTTTTTATTTTACTAAGATGACATGCAGGAGGTGGAATCTTGTTATCCAAATAATAATTTTAGCCAGCTTTATGAAAGGAGGAAGATCACTATTTTCTGAATCACAGCTGTGCATATAGCAAGTTTGGATTCTTCCGAAGGTCAGGAACTAGGCCAAGAAATTTGAGAAAATGCTTTTTAAGTAATCAACAGTGAATATTAATATAACGCCATGACTCTAGTTTTTTTGTGTGTGGTTTTTTTTTTTTTTTTTAGGAAGTCTACTGTACATTTTAATTATTATCTTGGTTTTTCCCTTTCAGTATTTCTTGTTTGTCAGCCTGCTGTCAGGATAACACCCCCAATGTTAACAAAGGAATAAGATGTGTAAAGCATATTTAATGGACATGAAATATTAAGCTGCTGTTCTTATTAGCTGATTAAATAATTAGCATCAGACTCAGTCTCAATGAAGGAACAAGTATGTTCTGTGGAAAAAATAAAATGAAGAGTCCTGTTTTTTCATGGATCTTCTATCCTCCAAGTAAAGTAAACCCAGCTTCCCCCATTAAAACTCTTCCAGTTCTCTTTCTCTTGTCCATTAATTTCCATTTCACACACTGAGTCTAGCTCTCTGTCTCTCTTCATCTCCAGTAGTGCAAAACACAGTTTTCCAGGGCTGATCTGGATCTCTGTGTGTCCTAATTGGCCTGCTGAAAGATCAAACAGGGCAGGAATCTTCCGTTCAGGGCTGCAGCCTTGGACTCAGCTGGGTGCCTTATTACTTAACCTCTGTTTGGAAGCTTGAAGAAATTTTCATCTGAGACTTGTACTCTGCTATCAGTTTTTTTCTGAAAGTCCCAAAGATGTTCAAAATTTCTTGGAGGGGTCTAACATAGATCACATAAACGTCCTTTCATTAGGTAATCAGCCTAAAAATCTCTGAAGTATATGATTATCTGGATTAAAACAAGTGTGCTAGAAGCCTTTTATCTTCTTATTGGGAAAGAACAGAAGAAAATTGTGGGTTTGCTGCATAGTTGGCTCTGTATGTGTTGTCTTTATGTGGTTAGTTAAGCTTTTATCAGTTTTAACCAGTATACTTATTTTAAATCTAATTTACTGGCTTTTTTTTTTTTGTAATTTCATTTCCCAGACAAGAAAAAGTATCATGTAATTGTGATTGATCCACCATGGGAGAACAAGTCTGTTAAAAGAAGCAACAGGTAAATTTTAAAATAAAATTAAACAAACTTTGTTGTCCTAGCTTACAAAGGGTAATTAACATTTTAATATACTGATGCAGTCTAAGACTGATATAACTGTGAGACTGTAGCTTAAACTAGCAAATGTTTTGGCACATGCCTACCTTCAAGTCTATTAAATGTCTCGGGGAATTAACAAAAATGTGTTGGATGCTTTGCCTACAAAATATTTGCAATAGTGGATCTTAAATGAGAATGTTAGTCCTTGAGAGTTATAAGGAAAGCCTGAAATCAACTGTTCTGTAAGGCTTGGATCATGCTGATACTAATTTGAAATTAATAGGGTTACTTTAACAGGCATAAAGCTAGATAAATGCATAAGTATTTCCAGGACTGAGGTCCAATTTAGAAGATTTTGGGTTTGTTTTTTTTTTTTTTTTTTTTTTTTAATTTGAGGTGTAGTTTGAGCTTTAGTCTGATGGGTAGAAGAGAGGAAGTGATAATGCAGCAGTAAAATCCTCAAGTGCAATAGGAACTTTCTGAGTTTATGTAGTCATTAACCTGAAATTTTATGGGCTTCCTTCTCCACTGAGTAACATCAGGCTTATGCCAGTGGAGCTCTCTTGATTACCATAGAATTGTTTCCATGTGACAGAAGGGCAGGCAGGAGTTACGGCCTTACAACTGTCTAGAATAATGTCTACTGTAGCTTTTGAAGCTTATTATGAAGACATAATTTGAAGATGCAGGGACTGATTAGTAGCTTTTACTTTGAAAGCCCTACAGAAACCTCTAGAAACCCATAGTTAGCTCATTAAAGTGTTTTTCTTAACTATGTAAGTTACTCAAAGAAAAACTGTAGTTATTCACAAGTGTGAATTCGCCAGCAAGGCCTTCTCTCCCTTACAAAATAAAGGGAAAAGGTGGAAGAGCTATCGCTGCTGTTAATTACCTTATTGATGGCTAATCTTTGTTAAGCATGTCAGATCTGGGTTGTGATCTTGTTTTCTCTAGGAAGTGTAGTCCAGGAGGTATTTTGGATTTTGTCCTTGTTACCTGTTTCTCACTGTTGTTCTCACTGTTGCAATAAATAGGGATTGCAGGTACCTAGGCAGTGGCTGTCAAATCCAGTAGGTAGTGTGCCAATGCTTTTGATGCTGCAATGTGTAGGTTCCATGAATTGCAACTCATTAGTAGTGTAGAACAGCATCATGAGAAAAATGGTAGAACAGGACAAAATCTGCAAAGCATACTGCATTCACCGATGTAGCATATAGTTAGCTCAGAAATATGCAGAACTCTTCTGAATAGCCTAGAGAACTTTTACCATGAGTGGTAATTTAAAAATAATGAGTAACTTCTGCAATAATTGGAGAACTGATTACTCTTTCATGACCTTTTAACTTGCCAGTCAAATGAGTGTTTCCCTTGCACTTGTAAATGACTCACTTGTCATTTTCATTCAGAAGAGAGATAGCTTATTATGAAAAGTGAATAATATTACATTGACTACAGAGCTCATTTTCACTAAATAGCTTTGTTCTGGTGTAAAGATGAGAGTATGGAATTACATATGGTAGCTCTTAAATAAAACGTGGGCTTGTGAATTAAATGTAGGCTTTTAGACTTCTTCAGAATCACAACTCATAATACTTTATTTGGGGGAATAGTAGAAATACGTAGTTAAAGGTTCTGCTCCGTAAAACTTAAGTACAGACACTAAAGATTTTATATTGGACTCCATATGATTTGGCCACTGGGTGTCAGTCTTGATCCATTTTTGACTTGTGTTGTCAGGACATAATTCTTGAAATGTCTTGGCTGTGTAATTTCTTTATTCGTTTGTGTTGCTTAGCAATTTTTATATTTAGTGTATGCTAACTTGCTTTCTCACTGTATTGCCATATAGATACAACCACTTGTCTTCATGGCAAATCAAGCAGATTCCTGTACCAGCACTTGCTGCTCCAAATTGTCTTGTGGTCATGTGGGTGACTAATAGACAGAAACACTTACGTTTCGTTAAGGATGAACTTTATCCTCATTGGTCTGTGAAGACACTTGCTGAGTGGCACTGGGTAAAAGTAAGTTCTCAGTTTGTTTTGTTGGTTTTTTTGAGACAGACAGGGCTTGCACTATGACGCTTTATATTCTTATAATTTGTCTATTTATTACTATGTGCATTTGTATATGAGAGGTATGGTATCATCAGTATCTTCCTTTTTATCAAAGAAAATGTCTCAAAAAAAATTGGATGTGAAAATCTTCCACTGTGTTTTTTTAACTCCTTTGTGTCAGATTACTAGAGCTGGAGAATTTGTATTCCCTTTGGATTCACAAAAAACCCTATGAAGTCCTTGTATTGGGGAGAGTGCAAGGAGATGTAAAGGAAGGCTTAAGGTATGCCAGGATATTTATGGTAAATGTCTTTCTTGAGGCTGCTCGGGTTCTATTTGTATGTATCACTTGTTCATGATGCAGTATAATGTCCCAAAATCTTCTCTTGGTGTCATTTTTTGACTTGTTTTGGACCTAAAGATAGCCTTATTAGCTTTGGGATGAGGGAGTGCTTTTGTGAGATTAAAGGCTGGAAACCTTTGCTCCTTGTATCTGTCTGTATTGGGGAACTGGCTCAGATAAAAGCCTTGTGGATGGGACTTTGTTTGCTGCCAGGTTCTTGTGGACCGTGAGTCCTTGGCACAGCCTGACACCATTCTGGGGATGCTGATGTCTTTCTGCACATGAAAACATACAGGCCTATGTTGTTTGTTGTCAATGGCTTTGTATGGCTATAGTTAACCACATTTTGTCTAAAGCCCTGGTGATTTCATAAACTGTCCTTTTATACGTTATGGCTAAGCAACATCTAACTTCCTTTCAACTTACCTGAAGTTTGACTGTGAATGAGCATTCTGTGTGTTACCTCCCATCTGAAGTAGCTCTGTGAGACCTGCAGCATCATATTTGGTGGTATTCATTCTCATACTTCCTTTCTTGTTCTGATTTATGCGACAGGAAATCTGAAGATGTACTTCCAATTCCAGAACATAAGTTAATTGTCAGCATACCCTGCAGTCTGCATTCACATAAACCCCCTCTTACTGGTACGTTTTGCTGTGTAATGTTTCTGTTCAGGCATTGGACTTGGATGTCTGAAATGATGTACTTAGAATAAGATATCTTCATATATGAAGTGCCTTAATTTCCTATATGCCAAGCAGTTTTGCACAACAGGACTTGTGATTCCTCAACGTTCCTAAAAATGTTGTCAGGCACCTAAGTTTCCTTTCTCTAGAAATGAATATGAGAAGTGGAACCTCAAGCTTTATTGTGTGCATATTTTGGGTAGACATATAAACAAAAGATGCATTTCTTAAATTTGTGTTTTAAATGCTGCAGGAACAGTTTACTGTATGTATGAAGTTATGCCAAATGGCCTAAAGTGCCTGGGAAGAGGGGAACTTTGGGAATATATAAAATAGAGTATCTTCTACTTGGCTAATAAAAGCAGAAACCTCTTTATTATGTCATCCTGAAAGAAATGTTTTTATATCTGCATGAGCTGCTTGTATGTCTGCAGTACAGTTGTGCCTTTAAATAATAGTAAAAAAAAAAAAAAGAAATAGTTAACTATAGGCAACAAATAAGGCATGCCCTGTTTGTTTCTGAGGAGCTGTATTTAATTTACTGAAATTAATGCAGTAACTCCAACCAGCCAGTTGGTGTGGGTATGAATTCAGCTTTTCAGAGTTTAGTCCAAAGGATTTGAAGATTTCTGTGTGATATGTTACCTTTTGCACATTGTTCTGGAGCAAGCTTACTTTGACTAATTTCGTCAATAGAAAGTCATACTTCTTCCATCATTATAGTACCTGAGTGCCTTACAGTGTTATGGTAAGAAACATATTTAATACCTCTCACAAAAATGGTTTCATTCTCCTCCAAGGGGAAGACTCATGATGAATCTGCAAATATTCCAGGTGCATGTGGTGCTATGTAATCATGTTGGAAAAGGCAGGGAGAAGAAATGCGTAATGTTGGAGAGGAGAGACATTACAGTTTGCTTCGCTGACATGCTTTCCTTTGTTTGTTCCCAGGGAACAGAAAAACTTCAGTTAGAAAGCTGGTCTGGACAGTTATACATTCCGGGAGGCTCTAAAATTTGTATTTTGGGCTTGTGTTTATTAAATTAACATACGTATGTATACCTGTTCAAAAACTAGTAGAAGACACATACGTGTGTTGATTTAAGCTAATGAATGGTACAGAAGTGCTTTGTGAGGCAGTCACCTAGGGCCTCGTCAGAAAACCAGCTCACTTGGACACAAACAGGAAACTTGTGAGGTATCCAAGGGTGCAAACCAGCAGCCTGTATGTATTACAGAGAATTCTGGTGCCAGAATGCCCCTCAGAACAATTCTTTTGTAGGGCAGAATCTAGAAACCATATTGGGGAATCATTTGTAAATTATGATCCTGAATGTGTGTTTTGAAAGAAATTTGTATGTGCTAATTTATATATTTCTTGAGTCTTTACTTGAATGCTGGAATTTGATACCATTGTGCAGCATTTATGTTTCTGTTTGAAAAACTAATTTTCTGGTGGGCAACATCAGTGACTTGCAAGGTTTTTATGAAAGTCCATGTGTAGCCTGCAGTTTTGGCAGCTCCATTCAGAACATGGGTATAGAATGAAAAGGTAAACCATAAGGCAAAAGCTAATTGCTGATGCTTTGACTTCAGTGTTGTAAAAGGGTAGCACCTTCATGATTGGACAGTATTCTCAAGTGGCCAGTAGAGAGCAGTTGAGCTACATCCTAGAGTGGTTCAGAAGAAATTTGAACAGAAGCAGAAATTTGGCAATGGTCGAGAAGGACACTTGATGAGTCACACACATTCTTTATGCTTTGTTTAAGTAGCAACAAAGCCAAAAATATTAGTATTTACTGATGCTGTCTGGCACTTTATTTCTTGTTACTACTGCAGAGGCTGTATGTTGGTACATACGTAGCCACTTAATGACTGATTATAACATTTTTATCTCTCTGGGGGAAGAGAAAGATGTAAATTAAAGTAAGCCATCAAAAAGAGATGTTTGGGTTCCTACAGTGCATTTAACCGTGAAATTGAGACTGTAGGGGTTTTTGGTGATGCATGTGCTGTTTTCAGTGCTTAGAGCTTTTATATGTCATTGTAAATGTACTTAAAATTTCATTTTAATGCATTTGCATAAAGTAGCTTATTAGTCCTGGGTTTGGTTCAAATAACAGCAGGTTTTCTTCCTAATTCAATTCAATATTGCTCTTAGAAGACATAGAAGGTACTGTGTTACACAGAAGATACGAAGTAATGTAGAACTCCACCTTTTTTCCTTTTCCTGTTTTATAGATTCTTCTTGTTATAGCTATTTCTCCTTCAATTTTTAAGTATGTACATTTATGGTTAGAAAATAATATTGTCAGGAGTATGCTTAAAAACAGTGGAATTAATTCTTGGCTATGTTCTAACGGCTTTGCGTATCTCTAGCAGAAGAGTGCAATGGGAAATTGGGAAATCTTGAGAACCCCCTTCTGTAGCACCCCTGACTTGCTAGGCTGTGTTATAATAGTGTTCTTGGAAGTAAAAAAAAAAAAAAAAAAAGGAAATGCCTTTGTTTTCTTATGCACTGTGTGAGCCCTGACTGTTAGACTAATTGGTAGGTGCATCAACATCTAGGTTTAACTTGAAGCTCAGAAAAGATGTAGAGATGTAAAACCATCTTTGTGCTGAGTTTCGTATCTTTTTCTGGTCCTACTGTTTGGGGATTAGGCAGACTGGGCAATAAGGACCTCTACCTTGCAAATGCTTTTGAAGGGTTACTATGAAATGAGTTCAGTTGTATGCTTTGTGCATTGTATGGGTCACAAATCAGACAGTAAAAAGCCAACAAAGTAACTTTCACTTTATGTATGTGATCTGACAGGCAGAACTTGTTGTTTAGGTAACAGAAGTTCAAAAGATAAGGGGAAACTGTTGCTTGTTTCAAAAATGATTCCTCCTTTTGTTTGTTCAAACACTTATAGCAGCATGCATCTTCAATACATGTTTGAGATTAAGAGTAAGCAGGTATTGCAGGTATCCTGCCTGACTACTGGAATGCACTTCAGAAGGAAGTGTGTTTTCTAGAAAACCAATGTTGTATCTACCAGTCAGCTTTGTGTGTCCTAGGGTATTACATGCCCAAGTACAGGGGCATGTTTTGCTGTTGCAGTGTTTATTACACCTGCAAGTGATACACAATAAATACATTAATTTTTATTTAAGCTGTTTATTGTTGGTGGTATAGAAGTAAATGTGGTTGGTGGTTTTTTTTTTAATCTGTTCCTATTGTAGGAAAACTTAATATTTGATCTTTCTACTGATGTAGATCTTCTAACCTGTTAGAGGAAAAAAAATACAGGGTTTGCTTAAGGGCTGCAGGTCAGATCCATGTGTGTTAAGATAGCCTTCTGGTGATATAAAAGCCTAACAAAGAAGCTATAATTTATAATGTGAACACTGACTTTCTATTTTAGGGAAACCAGTGTAATGAGATTTTTATGCCAACAAAATACAGCCACATTATTGCCCTCTTGATATGGTAATTTTCATTGCAGTGCAAGTTACTGCCTGATGTGATTATGTAAATACCTACAACATAGCAATGAAAAATCATACCGTAATGTGATCTTGAATTATGTGTAATCTGTCTCTGTTTTTAAAAAAAGCTCTGACTTCAAAGATGACCCCCTCTCTGGCGGCAGGAGAGGGGGAGGTTCCTGGGACTTCCTTTTTAAATTCTGATTTAAATCAAATCGATTGAAAGATTGGCACAAGGTTCCTGCTTCTGCTGAACTGACCCATTTTTTGGCTGCTTCTTTTTTGCTCTCTGGCAAACCAGTCTTTGAGGTTGGTTGAATCTCCTAAGTGTGCTTTTAAAATTTGTTCTCTTAGGCGTGGAAGTTTTTGGTGCTTAGTAAAACTGCTTTTGATTACTGGGCTTTGTGCTGTGATGATATTTTAAGATACAGTTTAAGAACAAATGTGAACATTAATAATGTGCTCTTAATGAAATTTCGTCACCTAAATAATTGCTTCCTCTACTTAGAAGCCCGTATAAAGCATAAAATAGTTCTATTTTGTTTTTATATGCGGGGTGGAAAAAAGTCATATAAAGCCTGGCCCTGCATTAAGCTCTGCGTGATCTTGTGCCCGTTAGCGTCAAAAAGATAGCCTACAGATGGTGGGATCTGCTCGCAGAGAGCTTATTGGAAGCTTTGGAGCTTTGCTTTCCACACTCTCTTCCTTCTCTTCTGTGGAAAAAGTGCAACCTCCTGCAGCATGGGCTTTCTTAGATGATAAAGAGAATAGATTTTTGGAAGACCTTTGTTAAAGTCATGGAATCACAGAATCACGGAGTTTTCAGAGTTGGAAGGGACCTCTAGAGATCATCTAGTCCAACTCCCCTGCTTCTCCCTCCAGAGAAGGGGCTTCCACAACTTCCCTGGGCAGCCTCTTCCAGTGCTCTGTCACCCTAACCGTAAAGTTTTTCCTTGTATTTGAATGGAACTTCCTATGTTCCAACTTGTGCCTGTTGCTCCTCGTTCTGTAACTGGGAACCACTGAAAAGAGTGTGGCTCCATCCTCCTTCAACCCACCCTTTAGATACTTGTACGCAATAATAAGGTCTCCCCTCAGTCTCCTCTTCTCCAGGCTAAAGAGTCCCAGCTCTCTCAGCCTTTCCTCATAAGGGAGATGCTCCAATCCCTCAGTCATCTTAGTTGCCCTTTGCTGGACTCTTTCCAGCATTTCCCTGTCCCTCTTGAACTGAGGAGCCCAGCACTGGACACAGTATTTGAGTTATGGCCTCACCAGTGCAGAGTAGAGGGGGAGAATGACCTCCCTTGACCTACTGGCCATGCACTTCCCTATGCAGCCCAGGATTCCATTGGCCTTTTTGGCTACAAGGGCACATTGCTGGCTCATGGATAATTTACTATCTACCAGGACCCGCACATCCTTCTCAGAACTACTTCCCAGCAGGTCCACCCCTAACATACACTGGTGCCTAGCATTCGTCTAGGACCTGCACTTGCTTTTGTTGAACCTCATTAGGTTCTTCTCTGCCCAGGTCTCCAGCCTGTGCAGGTCACACAGGATGGCAGCGCGGCCCTCTGGAGTGTCAGCCACCCCTCCCAGTTTGGTATCATCAGCGAACTTGCTGAGGATACACTGTCCCCTCATCCAGGACACTCTTGTCCCCTCATCCAGGTCATTGATGAATGTATTGAACAAGATTGGATCGAGTATTGACCCCTGGGGAACACCACTGGTTACAGTCTTCCAACTTGACAGTGCTCCATTAATCACAACCCTCTGAGTTCTGTCACACAGCCAGCTCTCAGTCCACCTCGCTGTCACCTCATCTAGCCCACATCACAGAAGCATCGAATTGTTTGGGTTGGAAGTGGCCTTTAAAGGTCATCTAGTCCAACCCCCCTGCAATAAGCAGGGACATCTTCAACTAGATCAGGTTGCTCAGAGCCCCGTCTAACCTGACCTTAAATGTGTTTCTAGGAAAGGGGCATCCACCACCTCCCTGGACAACCTGTGCCAGTGTTTACCACCCTCATTTTAAAAAAATTTCTTTCTTATATCTAGTCTGAATCTACCCTCTTTTACTTTAAATCCATTACCCCTTATCCTATCACAACAGGCCTTGCTAAAAAGTCTGTCCCCATCTTTCCTGTAGGCCCCCTTTAAGTACTGGAAGGCCGCAATAAGGTCTCCCCAGAGCCTTCTCTTCTCCAGGCTGAACAGCCCCAACTCTCTCAGCCTCTCCTCACAGGAGATGTGCTCCAGCCTTCTGATCATGCTGGCAGCACAAGAAATACTTAGCTAAATAAAGTGTGGAAAAAGAACATTTTTTTTTTTTTTTAATATGGTGGGTTTGCAAAATGGTATAATAACAGGTACTTATAAGTGGTGTCTAATTAGATGAAGTCCCATGACACTAAACAGCAATGTTCAGTGCAGCAAGCTTTCTGTCAGAATGTACATTTTCCTCTAAACCTCCCAGACTCTTCTCTGCAAATGTTAGATTTGTTTAAACATTTTAGCTTGCCTCTAAAAGAAGCAGTTTTTTAGAATA